GGGGCCAGCCAGGGGTGGGATTTACTGGTTTGCCAAACCTGTAATTAAAAATGATAAAATTAGCTACCATTTCACCCGAACCGTGACGAACCAGTAGCAGCCCACCCGTTAATAGGTGAAAAAAAATATTGGCTTCTTCTTTAATGGGTAAAAGAACACCACTAAGATATCTACCATCGTCCTTGCTGAGAGTACCTCTATTAGAATGGTATGATATTTATTCTAGAACCACCCCCTTCTTGGCCTTAATGACTTTTTGAACATGGCATGCTACAGTGGCTCAAGTACAGTTTACACCTCCACTGAAAGTTTCATAACTTGATTTAGATCAATCCTCCAAATTTGATTATGATTATAATTTTCCATTTCCATTCTATTTTGCTCCATGTTTAATCAGGTCGCAAACTGAAAAGTGATAGCAGCTAATGGTTCTTGACTTTCTAATAAAATGTGTGAATACATTCAGATATTATGGGAAATGAAGCTTTTTATTTCTATTTTGAGTCAGTTTCAAAGTCCTCAAGACAATAAATCTGGAGATGCCTTCAATTTTTGCAATTGTTCTTTCTTCACATCAATCACAAGTTGAAAACTTTTGGCAAAACAAAATACAAAAATCATGGAAGGAAATGAAAAACCGTATGTGACTATCAGGGGAAAGCACCCTTAAACAGAGCATGCCTTCTCTATGCTTTAAACGTGAAGTATTTCAGAATAAACCATTTAATCCTATTATTATTACAAAGGACACAAAGGGGCTATGTTCAGAATGTGCAGAATACCAGCAAACCTTAAGGATCTATTATTTATTTACTTATTGAATTTATATGTTACCCATGGCAATAGTAATGACAATATTAAGTAACACTGTTATTTCTGATCAAAGTTTGGCATTAATGACAACAGTCTGAAACTCAGTAGTTAGATAGATATATAGAAAATCCAAACTATTTTATTGAATAAAGCTATATTATACATTATTAAGGGCTGTTTCATTAATCAGGAGTTTTCTTTCTTCAGTGAAAAACCATACAGTTCCATTGTTATCATCAGTGCTTTTTTGTTTTTTAGTATTTCTATAACCACACAAGCCCCATTTATATATTCAACTGAAGATGCACGGGCTTCATTTAACCTGGAAGTAGAACTGACAAGTGCGAGAACTCATCTGATATTCCCCAACTTCCTTTTAAATCTGTTCTAACATTCTAACATACGATTAGAGATACAATTGTAATACAATTGGTTATCTTCCACTTGAGAAAAAAGAGAATATAGATTAACCAATGAAGCATGTAGTATACATAGTAAAATCATTAAAAATAAGGATGGATCACTTACTTTGTCCAGCAATGTTTGTCAATGAACTGTTTCATTGAAATTTTGTCCAACTCTTCTGCATGAGGTGCATCCCATGGTGTTTCAGCAGGAATCTAAAAACAAAGCAAGTGTTTCAAATATGCACAGTTTATTTGCTGATTGGGATGGGAATTGATTTACTTTTCATGTATCAATAGCCTCAATCTATTGTCCTTGTAATATGGTCATAAAAGAAAACAAGCACAATCATGTTGTAAAATTAAATTAGCTTTCTTTAAAAAATGGAAAGAGAGTGAGTCAAAAAAATTCATATAAAATGAATGAAATTTTAGCACAACTGTTTAAAAAAAGGCACAATCATATTTTCTAGTGTAATCCACCCTTGTAAGCAACTTGTTCATGAAATGCAAGTGACATCAGGACCTATTAATTGGGTTCACATAAGTCTCTTTATAATATTGAATAAAAAGTTTTTAGCAAACGGAAAGCATGGGAAATCCATTGTCATTGTCCAGTCATCAATATCCATATAATAGATACATAGTGCAATAAGACTTGGACATTCAAAAATATGAAAACGTATCTCAAAGGCATATATGCAATTAATTCTTCTAGATCAGGGGTGTCAAACTTGATTTCATTGAGGGCCACATCAGGGTTGTGTTTGACCTCGGGGACTGTGGTGGGTGTGGCCAGGGTGGGCATGGCGAACTCAATGTTACTCATGTCTGGGGTGCCTGTGGTGGGCTGAGTGCTCTGCCAGCGAAAATGGGCTCCCGAGTCAGTTTTCGGCTGCGATGGCCTCCTGCAGCCCTCTGCCAGTGAAAATGGAGCTTGTGAGGGCTGCGTGTTCATGAATTGCAATAAAAAGGTTTTAGCAAAAAGAAAGCATGGAAAATCTATTTTTATTGTCCATCAATATCCCTATAATAGATATGTACTGCAATAAGATATCTAGATTCAAAAATATTAAAACTTGTATCTGAAAAAAATATTAAAACATTGTATCTGAAATATAATGCTTTATTGATTAAGCTGTAATCTAAGATGTACCGAAGATACAGTGATGCTAAAACAGTTTCCATAGTTTAGATAAAACAGTGACATCTAATTTTTTTTATTCCACTCAGTTTTTAAAGTGTGTAGATCAGACTGAATTAACAATAACAGTTATTTAGAAAGACACTTTTTTTTGTCTTGGAATATTTAGTGATCATGCTCTCTGAAGCTAAAAATCCACTTAATTGGTAAATTTATATCCAGTCAAGGATCTTGTTGTGATCAATACAAATAATTGATAAGTTCAATGAAGATAAATGTTATGGGATATATTACAAGGCTACACATTCAGGAGGACAGCATCTATATTTAATACAAAATATATTTTAATGTTGATTACAAAAATCACTCATAGCTGATGGTCCTTGCTTACTTGGTCAGCCTTAGTCAGTGACCATTAGAAATTGAATGGTATTGAAAAAATAACTTCACATGCCCATATCTATGAAGCAGCATCTCTCAGCCATGTGATTACCATCACAGTCAGTTTTTCTGTGCCTTGCCTGTTTTTCTCCTCCCTCCCTCTCTTGCAGGGTGCAGGAGGGGATTACAAGAGAATCAGCAGACACACGATGGGAAACATACATTGAAAGCAATTACTCCAGGCTGTTTACATCCTGTGCTTGTGGCTGTTGGCCCCAGAACATTGCTTTCAATGCCTGCTTATTCTCTTGAAATCCCTCCCTTTAAAAAATAAGAGTTGGAAGGGACCTTATAAGTCATCTTCTAGTTCAATCCCCTGCTCAACAGGAGACCCTATAGAAGTGTTGGCAACCCTTTTTGGCACCAAGTACTGAAACAGGAGCGTGGGTGCGAGGGAGCGCCAAAAACTGGAAGAGCATTCCCTAGCACACATGCGTGGGAGTGCCAGAAACTGGAAGAGCAAGTCCCTGGCACACACCTGGTTTTCTAGTTTCTGGTGCGCATGCATGCACGAAGACCAGCTGGCCAGTGTGCAAGCGCATGCCAGAAACTGGAGGTTTAACTTCATGGTGTGCACATGTGTGCCGGGGAGCTGCTCTTCCAGTTTCTGGTGCTCCTGCATGTGCGAAGATCAGCTGGCCGGCATGTATACATGCGCCAGAACCAAAAAGAGCAATGGGCAATGGCTGGCATGCCCAGAGAGATGGCTCTGCGTGCCACTTCCAGCATGCATGCCATAGGTTCGGCATCAAAGCCCTATATCATTTCTGACAAGTGGCAGTCCAGTCTCTTCTTGAAAGCTTCCAGTAATGAAGTACCCACAATTTCTGAAAGGAATTTGTTCCGTTGGTTGATTGTTGTCACTGTCAGTAAATTTCTCCTTATTTCTAGGTTGAATCTGTTCTTGATCAGTTTCCATCCATTGTTCCTTGTCTGGCCTTCGGGTGCTTTGGAAAATAGGTTGACACCCCCCTGCCTCTCTGTAACAGTCCCTCAAATAATGGAACATTGCTATCATATCACCCCTGGTCCTTCTCTTCACTAAACTACCCATGCCCAGTTCTTGCAACCATTCTTCATATGTTTTAGCCTTCAATCCCCTAATCATCTTTGTTGCTCTTCTCTGCACTCTAGAGTCTCAATATCTCTTTTATAGTGTGGTGTCCAAAACTGTAACTGCAGTATTCTAGGTGTGGTCTTACTAAGGCTTTATACAGTGGTGGGATTCAAATAATTTAACAACCAATTCTCTGCTCTAATGACCAGCTGTAGTAGTTTTCAAATAAAAAGAATGCTCGCCTTATGCAAATAAATAACAAATATCTTGCAAAATATTATTGCTCATTCTAGTCTCCTTTCCTACTAACGGGTCCATCTCAGATTGTAATTTGCTACAACCTCTCTTGTCTTTTGCATCATTCTATGGGAGATTATTCTGAAATGTTATCTGTGATGTTTGCAACTGTACAAGTTTGTTTCATCTAATCCTGTTTTTGCATGCAATTCCTACAAGTTATTTTGATATTCCTTCCCCCTTTTTAAACAAAGTAGTGATTAAGGTGCTGGCCTAGAAACCAAGAGACTCTTACCATTTTAGGCTTGAAAAGATGGCTGAGTAACCAAGTCACTCTCTCCCAGCCCAAACCATTTCTTAGATTGTGGATGTGGAGGAAAGAATATTAGATAGGTTCTCCAGCTTTATAAAGTAATAAAGACAGAATAAACATCTAACAAAATAACTAATCATTTGTGAAAATGTCCTTCTAAAGGAAAAAGGGTGCTGCCTTACATTTATTTCATTTGTATCCACTTTATTTTTCTCTACTTTTTGGTTTATTTTTCAATGATGGAATAGCCTGTTAAATTCTTACCTGTCTCACATGCCAGGGTTATGTGGGAAAACATCAGGTAAACACATCCATGTGACTGACAGGCAAAGGAAGCAGAAATCACTAAGCAACTACATTAAGACAGAAAGGTGGAGGCACCAGGGTGCAAAAAGCAGAGGATCTCAGGGGGAAGAGAGCTGAGACATCTACCTTTCACCAAACTGGTACAACCTAGTCAACTACAAAAAGGTAGGAATGTCATCCATGACTCTTTTATGTGCTCTTTCCATTGGAAATTTAGAGATTGTTTCAAACTGACAGTGCAAAAATTGCCCCAGCTCTACAATACTGGTAGATACTTTTGAATGATCTTTCACTTTTTATCCAGAGAAGTGCTAACAGGATTTAAAAAGCAAATTCAAGCATGTCCTTTTTTCCATTTAATCAATTTTGCCAAACATCTCCCCGACTCACAATAAAATAGCACAATAAAATAGCACTGTTCTAATATTTGAGGGGCTCCTACAAAAATGAGGAGGTCCATCCATTTTCCAAAACACTATAAGGCATGACAAGAAACAATGGATGGAAACTAATCACAGAGAGAAGCAACCTAGGACTAAGGTGAAATTTCCTAAGGGTGGGACCAATCAACCAATGGAATAGCTTGCCTTCTGAAGTTGTGGGTGTTTCATCACTAGAGGCTTTCAAAAAGAGTGAGGGAAGTACACCCCAAAAGGACAGTGCCAGGAAACACTAAAACAATGCAGAAAACACAGCCATTCTGCCCCAGCTGACAGGAAAACTAAGAGCAACAGTTCAGGCTAATTGAAAGCTTGGATGTGCTGCCAAAAGCCATTAACCCTTCCAACTCTATTATTCTATGTTCTCTATGTTCTAAATTGGGTGCTTCACAGCAGAACCAATACAGCTGGCTGGACAACACATGCATTGAATTCAGAGCCTGTATGATCAAGCTGCATCATTGTCCCCTCCTGTATCTTTTCTCCCCAGGAAGAAACAAGAAGTAGCCAACACTGCAGCATCAATAAAAGGTTTTTGGGGAAGTCCAGAGAGTATCAGCTGATCACAGAAGTGTTATTTAATACCCTTTATAATGAAAACATTTGTAATATTGTCCTTCTTCTTGAAGGGAATAGGTTAATACCATCCCTAGATGGGCAATTGATGAGTTTCCTGAATGTTTCCCTGCCCTAATCCTGTCAGTTTCTGTTGTTTATTGACTTTATTCAAGGTATGTGTTGGCTGCATGCCAGCTGCAACTAAATAATTTGTTAAGTGGTTCTTGGCTACCTACCTGGAGCTATTAACTGAAGGGAGAGATAAGAAAAAAAAACCACTCTGACTTTATTTTCAGCCAGTTTTCTGAACTGCACAAGCAGTTAACTAATGGTTCAGGTGAACTGGCTGAATCCCACCACTGGCTTTATAATACCTCACATGATCTTATTCAATGCCCCTGTTAATGCAATTTGAGATTGCATTGGCTTTTTTGGCTGTTGCCGCACACTGCTAGCACATATTTCATTGATTGTCCACTAAAGTTCTAAGATCCCTTTCACGGTTACTGATATTAAGCCTGGTTTCACCTAATCTGCATGTGTACTTTTGGTTTTTCATGCCTAAGTGTAAGACTTTATCTTCTCTATGAGGAATTTCATTTTGTTAGATAGCATCCAGTGTTCAAGTCACCAAGATCCATGTGGATCTTGAGCCTATGATCTAGGGTAGGGGTCTGCAACCTTAAAAACTCAAAGAGCCATTTGGACCTGTTTCCCATAGAAAAGAAAACACCAGGAGCCACAAAACCTGGGTAGGCATGGCTAACTCAATGTAACTCATTCTCACCCAGTCACATGACCTCCCCCAGACACACCTATCCAGGTTTTGGGGCTCCCTGTATTTTCTTTTCTCTGGGAAACAGGTGTCTCTCTTTCTCTCTCTCTCTCTCTCTCTCTCCCTCTCCTCTCTCTCTTTCTCTCTCATCTCTTTCTCTCTCTCTTTCTCCCTCTCTGTCTCTCTCTTTCTCTTTTTTCTTTCTTCGTCTCTCTCATATCTGTCTCTCTCTCTCTGTCTTTCTCTCTGTCTTTCTCTCGTGTGTGTGTGTGTGTGTGTGTGTGTGTGTGTGTGTGTGTGTGTGTATTCCCTCTTGAACCATTTCCAAAGACAGGTGAGGGTTGTTTTTTTTTTTAACTGATATTCTTTCTTCTTCTTTGATTGATTTTTTACCATATGATTTAAATCAAGAGTCATTTCAGGTTCCCAGATAAATGAAGCTCTTTCATCCCCCTGCTGTGGCTCCCTGTTGGCTGAACCCACCACTGGCTGGTCCCACCCCTTGCCCTCCCTTCCCAGTCACTCCTCGCCTGGCCTGAGAAGGTAATGGCAATGGCGGTGGATGGAGACTCACTCTATATTCCAGAATGGGAGCAAAGTACCCCTGTACTTACCTCTTCTTCTGACCCTTGTTGGTGCTGCGCATATCTCGGTCACTCTGAGAGATGCACAACTTTCTTTCCTCCCAGAGACACTTGCCCGGCCCAGCTGCAGCTGATGCTCCATATTGTAATGGGCTCCAGGAGGAGGAGAGGACACCATCGCCCACATTGTGAAGTGTGCTAAATTTAAGTGTACTGCACAAGCTGCTGCAAAAGCAGCGAGCAGGCCATGGAGGCGGAGGTGGGCCACTATCTCAGGGCAGAGAGCCAGTTGCTTGTCTCCCCAAGTGACTGAAGTACACGTAGTACTAGCAAGGGCCAGAAGAAGAGGCAAATACAGGGGCACTTCACTCCTGCTCAGAGGGCAAATACAGGGGCAATTCGCTCCTGCTCAGAGCTATATGGAGCAAGTCTCCACTCTGGAGCCACAGGTTCACAGATTCACCCTACCAATCTAGGGTGTTGGCTGTTCCTGCCAGCTCAGTACCATCTGCAAATTTGATGAGTTCTACTCCCTCATCTAAGCCATTTATGAAGATATTGAACAGTACTGGGCCTAAGATGGAACTTTGTGGTACCCCACTGTTTACTTCCCTCCATGTAGACATATACCATTAAGGACTACTCGTTGAGTATGGTTTGTCCGCCAGTTGCTAATCCATCTGGTGATGATGCTATCTATTCCACATTTTTCTAGCTTATCAAGAAGTAAGTTGTGGTCCACTTTGTTGAAAGCATATTATATCTACAGCATTTCGTTGGTCTATTAATTTAGTCACTTTGTCAAAGAATGAAATAAGATTGGTTTGGTATGATCTGTTTTTGACAAACTTGTGCTGACTTCTAGTTAATACTTTACCTCCAATCCAATGATTGTAAATACAAACATTAACTCCATTCTTGTTAATTATCCCAGTTCCAGGATGAGCATTCCAAAGGGTGGGGGAATGGTGAGGAGCCAAACCGGAAGGTATGAAACTGATTAGTCTTGTCAGTTTTGAGCTAGCTACCCCAGTGCCAGAGATGAGCATTTCAAAGGGACAGGGGATGGGGTAAAGGGAAGCATAATCAGGATCATGTAATTTCCCACTTAGTAACCAATTTGCTTAGTGATGGAGTTGCTGGTCCCAATTGTGGTTACTGAATGATGACCACCTGTATAATAATCTAATAATATTCCTATTTAAAAAATACAGGGAACGAAGGACTAATGTGAGTCTCCAATATGTTTTCCTCGATAAACCTGCATGGGACATTGTAATATGTCTGTTAAACAAAACCCTTTCACTATAAAATTGGAGATTTCAATATTTGCATTAAAGACAGGTAAAAATATTTCTGCTTCTTGAATACTTTTTGTCAGTGATATAAAAAATTTCCTTGCGTGGGAGGGCAGAGCTGGCATCGCGATGATATGGCGTGCGATCTTGAAGAGCCAAGATCGCTGACCATATCTTTGCTTATGGACGGTCCAAACAGATCTAAACCGTCCTGAAGAGACTATGAATGTAAAGAGCGCATCCTGTCAATCCCAGGGATACTGCAAAGTCCTTGGTAGATCCAGGAGAAGCTCTTTTTTGCCAGCAGCAAAGAGGCAGCCATTAAAGCTGCTGAAGTTGGGACAGCTTCGAAACAGAAGAGAATGGAAAGAGAAAGTGTGCTGGTTTGGTGAGAGTTTTCCTTTATTTTAAGATTTGAAAGAACACCCTAAGGAAAAGAAAGAATTTGTAAAATCTAAGACAGGAGTGATTAAGCGGCTATTTTAAACAGGAAGTCAAAATTAATATTTCTTTTTTTATTGCTAGACTCTTAATGTATGATTTTTTACTTGGAAACTGGACTGGTTTTCTTTTTTTACCTTACTTTTTCTTTTTTGTATTTTTTCCTTTTTTGTCTTTATAATATTAAAAGCTAGAGATTCCCTTTTAGCCTTTTTTTCTTCTAAGTCTTTTCTTCATTTTTAATTAATTTTTTATTACATTTTGTTTGGAAAAGGAGGGGGAAAGTGAAAGTAGAGGAAAATTTGTAACACTGACATCTAGAGACTTAGAAATATTGTTTCCTTTTTCTTCCTTTTCGACCAGACAAGGCTGAGAAAGAACTGAGGCTTTTTTTTTCAAGGACTTTGAGCCTGTTTGATAAAATAGAGGGAAGAGCACGGAAGAGTGTTATTGCAGGTGCTTCTCTGGGTTTCTATCAGTGGCTGGAGTCTGGTGTTGAAACTTACAGAAAGAAGATGATAAGACTCTTAAAAAGAGAGTTATAAAATTGTTTGGAACTTAACAAAAAGCCTTGGATAATTAAATAGGTGCAGTGTGTTTCTTCTCCCTTTTTTTAAGTTGGGCTATTCTCTTCTTTAACAAACCCCCTCATTAGTCTACTATTTTTGATACATATTTGGACCTTTGGCCTTTTGGAATTTGTTTTTGTTTTTTGCTTTTTTATCTTTGCATCTTATTATAAAGGAAAAATCTTAGTTTTAATCTTTTCTTTTTCTTTTTAAGGGAGTAGTTTCTTTTCTTTTTTTTTCTCCCTTCCCATTTCTTTATTCACCTCCTATATTGTTTTTTTTCTGTGGCTCCTTTTTTTTTCCTTTTTGTACCTGAGACTTTAATTGGATTAAGGTGTTGAAGAACCTGAAGAACTTTATTTTTATTTTTATTTTTGCCACCCACAATACTTAACAATTTTTCCTTTTTCTGTTTATGGTTTTTTCTTCTTTTGCGGGGGGGGGGGTTCCCACTATTTAACCAATTGATTGGATTAAGGTGTACAAGAACCTGAAGAAACTTTTCTTTGCTTCCTTTTTTACTTCATTATTTTTACTTGGAATTACAACTGGTTATTACACGAGCGGATTAAGGTCTAGAAGAACCTGAAGATATTGAATTGTTTGAAATGAGCAGGAAACTAGCAGTGTGTCAGCCTTCAAGATTTTTCTCCCTTTGCTTTGCATCTTTCGGCTGTCATAAGTAATGGGGGGAGGAGGGGGAATGGTTATGGGATGTGAGCTGGAGGTGTTACAAACCAGAACTGTATAAGCTGGCGGGGTACATTCTTGCTTAGGTTTCTATCCTATGCTATGCGCAGCTGCAACGCTTTATCAAACTAAGTCAAGGTCAACAGACAGAAGCCTCATCACCACCTGGAGATGCCCACATGATGATATATACAACTTTTAATTGGATGAGCCAATTGAACTATTGGGGGTGGGAATGTTGCCATTACTTTGTATATGTGATTTACGCGCCCATTTTCTCAGATTCAGAATTCATCATGTACATCAAAGCTGTATCGCCAGAAGAGACCCCAGCGAGCTGCAGCTGTGGTACGTGCTGGCAGCAGAGGTGGAAACTGATCTGACCCAAAACAGACGCGGGGGGGGGGGGGGGGGGTTGGTTGGAGCAAGTCCTCCCACACCAGCCCTTGAGAAGCCTTAAAACCTCAAAAGGGAGGAATGGCGGCAAAACCCAAGACCACTGCTTGCTTCCAATGTGGGAAGGAAGGTCACCAGGCTGCAGATTGCCATGCCAAGCTAGAACCAAAGGGGGTGCCAGGAGGAGGAAGAAAACCTGAAAAACCCCCAGCAAAGCCTCGCGAAGCGGCGTTTAAAGCAGAGGAGGTTGTAGAGATCGCCCCTCTGAAAGGAGAGGAGCTGCGAACTTCAACCTCTTCTGAAGAGAGTGAATCTGAATCGGAAGACGACTCACTGGTAAGTCCAAACAAGGGCCCTATGACCATTCCAGTGAGATTAAGGGTACCCACATCAGGAGCCAAAGGGGAAATGCTGGCCTTGTTAGACTCGGTGCACAAGGTGTGTAATCAGCTCGGAGGCAGTGGAGAAAATGGGCTAAAACATGGTAATGAAATATGTAGATTTTTAGAATATAAAGAATATATAAAGATGTATTATTTTTATCATAATCACAATATAATTATACAATAGATTTGGGGTGATAATATGAATTGTCATAAAATAAACCAATTAAAATATGGATTATCTTGCAAAATATGAATGAATAATAGTATAGTCGAATGTTTGATTAATAATGATATCAATGTATTTAGGAATATTTGATAGATAATATGAGAACATATACAAGTAATTGTAAGTGATGACTATGAAGTGGATGCACAAAACAATTTGTAAACCAACTGACACACTGTATGTACATATGTGGAAGATGGCTTGGTGTTTTTATGTTGTGTTTGTTTATGTTTGTCTAAAAAATAAAAAATAAACCTTTTTCAAAAAAAAAATTCCTTGTAAGCTTTGATGAAACAATGCAAATTTTTATTTATTGCATATATATTCATTATTCCCAGCATACCTCTTTTCCAAGTTTATCTATTGTTCTCCAGAAATAGATGTAATCCAAATATATGAAAGGGTTCCACGTGGAAGGAAAGATATCATACATAGAATAGGAATATCCCTAAAAGAGAAAAAATAAACAAGATATAACCAAATTGTTGATTCTTTCTTCTCATATTAATCTTAAGTTTCCATATGTAATAATTTTGTAATTATAGTGATTGCAGTCAAATGTCTATTAGAAATATATTCAGTAGCATTGTACATGCAAATCTAGAAATGAATCTAACACATAGATACTAAAAAATGAAATGCAGATCTTGACTTCTTCATTACCTTTCTTTTCAAGATTGAGAAATACAAATATAAGCTAAAGCGCAAAGTAAAATTTCAACATTAGCTTCACATTTTTCTTTTACTGCTGCCCTTGTAATTCATTTAATTATAATTTACTTTTATCTGTATTGGAGAGAAATACATACATTGAAAAAGGAGCATTGAACCCTCATGCAGTTGTTATAGGAATTAAAATAAGTGTGTGGCTCTTTGAATGTTACTATTGCTTCAGAAAAATCAGGGCGTTGATTTTGTTGGATGTATATGATCAGACATATATTTACATTATAGATGGTGCAGTTCATCACCTCTACTAGGGAATTGGAGGGCAAAGCCTTCCTACATCTGCTGTTGAATAGAAAAGAGCAAAGGAGTAAACAAATATACAAATGGCTTGAGACAGAATTGCTGAAAAGCAAAACAGAGTTCTTGTTGAGGATTAGCCAGTTGGATAAGACAAGGTGCTTTTCTGATGTAGATTCTGTAAATTTTGTAAAACCTAAGCAGTATTTTTCTTTCTATTTTTTCTTTCTATACGTTCCAGTTAATTCTCTTTATCTCCATCTATTTTTCCTCTATTCTTCCTCTTTTCTCTTCTCTTTCCTTTTTGGATCCTTCCTTCCTTCCTTCCTTCCTTCCTTCCTTCCTTCCTTCCTTCC